GGGTAGATCTACAATAGCAGATGGAAATTATCGAGTGGAAATTTATATACATTTATTAGACCTATATAGCCATGTAGGAACAGAAGCAAAAAATGCGGCAACTTTTGGGCCCAGGGACCAAAAGTTGCATTTTTCACTTCTGTTCCGGTTAGGTCTAATAAATGTAGGCTTATATAAATTTCCACTCGATAATTTCCATCCACAATGCCCTGCAACAATATATTCAATCGAGTATTAAAGATGCCAACAAAATCTTGATGTTTTCAAACACTTACAATGATAAGACAGTTTTAACGTTTTAGGTTAGTGCTATCATTGCTGTTGTCAAGTTTGTTATCAAATGCAACAGAAAAATGTGAACCTCAAAGCAAAAGACCAAACATTATTTTCATCTTAGCAGACGACTTGGTGAGATATACAAAACTGTATGGTAAAATGTTGCATTCAAATGATCTATTCAATTACACAGTGAACTGTACTGTTGGACAGTACAGTTCACTACTAACTACAAACCCCCCGCTTCCAAACCAAACTCCACTTAAGAGCCACCAAACCAATCCCCACTGTGCTTTACATAGGTTGACTGTTATAAAGTTTTACGAGTTATTAATAAGGGACAGGTTCTTGGTAAAAAAATTACTGATCCAACCTTAAAAGGTCAAATCCAGCTTCAAATATCAATTAAAAAATAAATACCCATCCCTGGCCAAAAACGTTGCAAATAAAGGATACCATTCAGTTGTCACACATGTCCTCTATCACTTCTGTGACATGAGTTTGATAACTCCTTGTGCAAATTTCTGTAATTGTCTGCAAATGTGCTTTCTTTGGAGACACCATTTGCCTTCTGACAAATCAGAAGATGATTACGATAGTGACTATGATTGACTGTGGATTGATTGATTTACATATTGAATAGACCTTTCCCCTTTTAAGTGAAATTTTGATCTAGACAAGTCTGGACAAAAATTTCATCACAGCTTGAAAGAGCATCACAAAATTAGTAATATTCCGAAGTTTCGTTGCGAAATGTTGTAAAATGCGGATAATATAGCCTTGCGAAGTTTGCCGGTTTTCAGTCATTTTAGATTACAAACGGGAAATTGATAATCAGATGATCAAACTGATTATCAATTTCCCATTTGTAATACCAAATGACTGAAAAACGGCAAACTTCGCAAGGCTATATTATCCGCATTTTACAACATTTCGCAACGAAACTTCGGAATATTACTAATTTTGTGATGCTCTTTCAAGCTGTGATGAAATATTTGTCCAGGCTAGTCTAGATCAAAATTTCACTTAAAAGGGGAAAGGTCTATTGACACATGACTGTTGACAATAAATAACGGTTTTAATGCAAACTGGTATACATGAAATTGCAGCGAATGTTATCGTTCATTAAGCTAGCGCATCAGTTGTGTTTTTATGTTTGTTTATACTAGTCTTAATACTCTATGTGCACTGGAGTTTTTATACTTCATCTGTTAAGAAAGGCGAGGGGTTGCTACATGCCTGTATTTTGACAATAATTTTTATTACCCAACCCGCGAGTTTGTTTTTTTATTTATTATTCAATTTCGTCCTGCTAGGGATGGGATGACGTCAGTTTCCATGGCTCAAACCAGATCCCCACGCCAAACATCGACAAACTAGCGAATGAAGGAGTGATCTTAAACAGTTACTACGTCTCACCAACGGGGACACCCACTAGAGCGGCGTTACTCACAGGAAAACATCCCGTCAATTTAGGTAAGTACGTCTGTTGACACACCTACGAAACACAAGATTACTACATTATAATGAGAAGAATGAACATTATTCAGGCCCGCGTAACTAGGATTTTAATTTAGGTTTACCGAGTCCACCGCTAGAGGTTAGAGGCGGGGTTAGGGTGGGGGTCAGGGATCCGCCTTGATACATTATAATAGGGGTCACACGAAGTATATAAAAACACGAAGTATACAAAAAACTGTATATAATCATTAAGAACATTATTATAATCATTAAGAACATTATTTTCTCACTCTGCTAATTGTAGGTTGACAAGCATGTACTACTTTGATTGTTGCAGGTCTTCAACATGGGTCTATATTTAGCTCTCAGCCATACGGCTTACCACTAGACCAGGTCACATTGCCACAGTATCTCAAGCCATTGGGTTATGTCACTCACGGAGTGGGAAAGGTTCGACATTTAAATTACTTCATTTAAATTACCGAGGCCATTTTTGCTGCCAACTTGCAACAGAATTTCTGACATAGAGCCATATCATCTGAAAAGTAGTCATGCTACTCCTTCCATTTCCATCCCTAGTGCCTATTTTAACTGGGGGGCGGCAAAACCAAGATTAGGGCCTAGTGTGGGCTCCCCAGAGTAAGAGTTAGGTCACTAAGGGTAATGTTAGGGCCCAGCTGTGTCACTAACTACACAAGCAAAAATCTCACATCTTGTAACAAGTTGTCTTCGCACTGCTTGTCGCAAGTTGTCAACAAGTTTGGAACACGCTGTTAACAATTTGTAACAATCTTGTTGATATTATCAGGCTAGTTACATAAGGTTGTTCCAACAAGTCTGATACAGTCGTGATATAGCAGTATTGTTACAACCTTGTGTCGTCAATCTTGTAACATTCTTGTTATATCATGACTGTATCAGACTTGTTAAAACAACTTTGCTACAAGTCTGATAATGCCATCAAGCTTGTTACAAGTTGTTAACAGCTTGTTCCAAACTTGTTACAACAACTGGGAACAAGCAGTGCGAAGACAACTTGTTGACAGCTTGTGAACAGATTTTTAACAACTTGTTCGCAGACTTAAGTAACAACTTGTGCGTTTTTACGTGTGTAGTGGGGGCTGCCGGGCCAATTGTCCCCCCAGTGTATATGTATATGTAAATTAAAATATGCCTTGCAAAATATGGCAGAGTAGAATGCGTGCCATGCTCAAAGTTCTCTTTTTAGATAGCATGGCTATTTCCCTGTATCCGAAATTACGTTGCAAGTTGTGGCAAGAATTGTCTCGTGTAACCTTGTCAAGGCTTGAGTCAATGGACCATTTGCATTATAGACTAAATTTTGATCTCAACAAGTCTAGATAAAAATTTCATCACGGCTTGAAAGAGCATCACAAAATTAGTAATATTCCAAAGTTTCGTTTCAAGGACCTAGATCTGGGAAAAATCTTAGAAAATGGCACGAATTTACCGTAAATAATTCACTTTATTCAGTAATTTTAATCAAAATCACTGTTGGCACAGCTGGAGGTTAAGGAAATTACTCTTCCAGGATTTTTAAGGACTTCTACTGATTTTCAAGGACTTTACAATCCTGAAATTATTTTTTTTCCAATTCAAAGACTTTCCAGGATTTTCAAGGCCCGTGGACACCCTGGTGATAAATATGTAGTATAGTTTAGTAAAGGTAACTCTCATGCAAACTCTCGCTTGCCTCTCATCTTCAATTTACCAGGCCTTACTAGTTTAGGCAGTGAAAGTGCTTCTAAATCGCTGATGAGCAGCTTTAAATCTTACGAATTTATTCAACTTTTAGTGGCATCTTGGATTTTTCAAGAAAGCATACACACCAGAAAAAAGGGGATTTCAAACTTTCTTTGGATTTTACAACGGCCAAGAAGATTACTGGGACCATACCGTTCATCAAGAGTACTCAGGTCTAGATTTGAGACGGAATGGAAAGGTTTGCTGTGTGCCATTCACAAATACATCTCGAATTCATTAATATATAATTCAGCCAACCATATTGGGTAAAGACCTACCTAAAATGATCATGTTTTGTGATTGGCTTTCCGAAACAAATCAGAAACAAAAATGATCATTGTTCATGACTCGTTCTTTAGAAAGACGATTTCTGTAGTTTTATTGTCTTTCATTGTTATAATCAACCGACCACGAGCCTGGATAGTATAGGTACCTGTATGGCTGTATCTGATGACCCACCGCATATTGCTTTATTTTGATTACATGATAAATAGAGGATATTACACGACGGCGCGAAGATATGACTTCTATCTTCGAGTGGTGAAAACAATATTTTAGGAACGAGCGCAGCGAGCGAGTAAAATATTGTTTTTAACACGAGAAGATAAAAGTCATATCTTCAAGCCACCGTGTAATGTTCTGTTTTTTAAATATTCCCAAGCAAAAAATTGTGAATTTCACGCTCAAAAGCAAATTGGAAAAGTCACGTGATCGATATCTTCACTACTCACTAGTGAAGATATGGAAAATATCTCGCTGTGTATTTTTCAGTATCTCACTCTCGACTATATAATAATACTGGATATCTAGTGAAGTATATTGACTGAACTGGATCAAAATTAATTCAGTCCTTGGACTGGATCAAAATTATTTCACCTCACTTTAAGTAGTGATTTATTCGTATGAGATGTCATTTCAAATCCGACTATGAGGACTGGATTTTAGATTTCAAGTGAGGACTGGCAAGACTGTACTAGATTGATCAAATTGCGCGGACTTGAAATCTAGTCCAGTCCTCATAGTCACAGAGTAGATACTCTGCTCTGTGTCATAGTCGGATTTGAAATATCACGTCGAAACAATGGGTGACCGGATGGCATGCATGGAGGACAGTGGGATTCTCAAAATAATTTTCCAGCGTTCTCCAATGAATTTGCAGCCCATTGCCATAATGCGGTGCTCTCAAGCCCGTAGCTGGCTCTCAATTTCTGGGGGGGGGGAGGGGGGCACTGCAGAAAGAATGTAACAGAGGGGTTGGGATGATTTTGACTTTCGTGCTAGCTGGCAGCTAGTTTCCCTTTCCAGCTCAGAAAAATTGGGATCGAACGGAACGTTCTTCTACACTGTAAATTAAAGTATTATACTTGTGCTCAATTTTGTGAGTCTTTAAAGTTCTGTATAGGGTTAGTTCAGCCGTCTGCTATCTAGCCTATAGCTTCTAACAATGAGGTTATTTATTTTAGGCCACAAGCAATCTATTTTCATACAAAAATTGAGTATGACTCTGAGCCTCAAGTATTAATCTTCTACGGTCGCTGTAGTACTGTATATCATGGCAAAAAATGTGGAATAAGGGGGGGCATAATTTCAATTTTATTTCCGAGTGGCCGGGGGGGGGCACTGCCCCCAGGTCCCCCCTCAGCTACGGGCCTGGGTGCTCTAAAGTTAACGTTCCTTTTCTATAGGTAATTAAAGACCAAAAGGATCATTACGCAACAGATATGTTTACAGATGAGACAGTTCATATAATAGAGAAACACAATACAGCGAAACCGTTATTTATATATCTTGCACATCAAGCTGTTCATACGGGAAATCCTGATTCACCATTGCAAGCTCCTGAAGAACTCGTCGAGGTAAAGTACGACATCATCTAGACCAAACTATACCTACACTGGATAGCTATCAGTTCTAAACTGTTCTCCCTAGAGGTCAGTAAGGGTCATTCATTGCTGATCATGGTATTAATCAGTAATAAATGGCCCTTATTAATTGATGTATTCATTGGCCCAGTGTCACTACAGCCGTGGAGTCAACCTAATATGGTCGCCTTCAACTCGCGGCTAGCCCTGGGTACGAGGTTGCAGTGGAGTTTGATACCAGGAAAATCCGAGGAAAACCTGGGGTGTTTGGTCAAACTGGAAACACTCCATTCTCGTACCCAGAACCCTTCTTACGCGCGGTGCGACGAGGGGCTCTGGCCAAATCCCAATCTCGTTCCCCGAGCCTGCGATCCTCGGGAAGGAATCGAAGGCTCTGGGATAATCCGTTACCGGAAGCCAAGAATCCTGGCTAAGATTGAACTACGCATTCCATTTCAATGGCCAATCAGATTCCTCCCTGAAACGGATTATCCCAGAGCCTCGCGTTCCTTCCCGAGGATCGCAGGCTCGGGGAACGAGATTGGCCAAATCCATAACCGGATACCATAAAAACATGGTAAGAAAACAATATCCGACGCTAGAACTAGCCAATCAGATGCCAGTTCGGATATGGATTTGGCCAGAGCCCCTCGTCGCACTGCGCGTAAGAAGGTACGAGAATGGAAACACTCTTCTTAACTTTTGCACTCGTTTGAGAAGTTATATCATACGCAGTATACACGCAATCGAATATTATGTAAAACACCTCAAAGTATGCTATAAAAAGCTTGCCTCGTTTCCAACATACTATTCAGTATATTGAAAATCACTTAGCTAAACCTCGTCTCCATTACGGCATGTGTGTAAGCCGTAATAAACGAGGCTAGCGAAAAAAAACAAAATCGTGCAAAGAGGGAAAGCAAAAAAAAGACCTTTAAAATTCTGCAAAAAAATCCAGCCCAAGGAGACGGCCAAAAAATTCGTGCAAGCTGAAAATTCTAATCGAATTTTCTAATCGTCCACCCCCTATAAACACGTTTTTGCTTCAGAACTTCAAGCACATTCCGAATAAGGAACGTCAGATGTATGCTGCCATGGTTAGTTCTCTGGATGACTCTATCGGCAAGTTGACTCAAGCATTGAAGAAAAAGAAAATTTACGACAATACAATTATCGTGTTTGCGACGGATAATGGAGGGGCGCCAAATGGAATGGAAAGGTAAGACCAAAAACAAACCAGGGTTTATTAGTTTCCTGGCCAAGTGCCCCAAAGGTGGGCAGACCAGGGTTTTATTAGTTTCCTAGCCAAGTCTTCCGAAGGTGTGCAAACCAGGAAATTTTGTTTCCTAGCCATCATTCCTGAAGGTACACAAACCAGGAAACACTGTTTCCTAGCTATGTTTCTCGAAAGTGGAGAAATCAGGAAACATTATTTCCTAGCCAAGTCTCCCGAAGGTGTGCAAACCAGGAAACATTGTTTCCTAGCCATGTTTTCTGAAGGTGGACAAACCAGGAAACATTGTTTCCTAACAATGTTTATATGGGTATAGTTATTGCTTATTATATGGTTATATTATACTCTATAGTTATTGCTTATAGTAATACATTGCTCATTAAATACTGTAGCATGTTCAGACATACAAACTAGTTAAGAACTAAAGAAGACACTATCTCACTTTGCTATATTTTTCTTCGTTCTAGAAATTGGGGCTGCAACTATCCTCTTCGTGGTGGCAAACATACACTATGGGAGGGAGGGGTGCGTGGTGTTGCGTTCGTACACAGCCCACTATTGGTGGACACCAAACGTGTTAGCAATGACGTCATGCATGTCACTGATTGGTTACCAACCCTCTACCACGCGGCCGGCGGAGACTTGGATGATATCAAGATTAAACTGGATGGATACAATATGTGGAATATGATATCATTAAGTAAACCCACCCCCCGGAAAGAGGTCCTTCATAATATTGACCCAGTCACGAAAAATGCTGCAATCCGGATGGGGAAATACAAGTTGATTGTTAATCAAAATATGAATTATTATTCCTCGTGGTATCAGGTATGAATTGAAGAATATTTTTTGGTTGGAGAAAATAAAATAAAATAAAACGTCTGTCAACAAAACGTCAACAAGTTGTTTTCGCACTGTTTGTCCTAAGTTGTTAACAACTTTGGAACAAGCTGTTAACAACTAGTAACAACCTTGTTGATATTATCAGACTTGTTGCAAGGTTGTTCCAACAAGTCCGATACAGTCATGATATAACAATATTGTCACAATTACCTTGTAACATTCTTGTTATATCATGACTGTATCAAACTGGTTAGAACAACCTTGTAACAAGTCTGATGCTATGAAGCTTGTTACAAGGTGTTAACAGCTTGTTCCAAACTTGTCACGACAACAGGGAACAAGCAGTGCGAACACAACTTGTTGACAGCTTGTGAACAGATTTGTAACAACTTGCGCGTTTTTACGTGTGTACACAATACACCTCCACTGGGCCACCACATCACTATCCCTTAGTATTTCAGACATTTATAACTAAGTTTAGTATTTATACGTTGAAGTTTTTTGTATTCAGAGGTTCCAGTCCAGACGAGATCCAGACGATGATTTCAAAGTTCTAAAGATGGAGGTGTTACCGCGAGCTGAATTAATGTGCACAAAATTCGAGAAGAGAGATTCAACTTTTGATTGTGATCCTTCTATTTCACCATGCTTATATAACATCGAGACAGGTATAGACAGCAGGACTTCTTTAATGCAAACTTAGTATTAGTCATTTGAAATAGGTTAAAGTTCTGAAATTGTAGCAACTCTAGGTTTGAATACAGTCGAATCCCTGTTAAAGTGGCACTGTCATCAAAATTTTTATCCTCTTAAACGAAAATGCTCTTAAAACTGTATAGTAACTTGTTTTGAAGATTTTTGTTGCCATGCTTAGTTCTTGAGATATTTCATTTTGTTTGTAACCATGTGACGTCATTTACTCAATACATATATGTGTATTTTTGCTATTTTTTATCAAAATCTTTCGAAAGATGCGGCGGGTTTGTTAATTTAATCTACATCATTAAACATACTGTTTTTTTAAACAAATCCATCAAAAATAGCAAAGATACACAACAATTACTGATTTCTCATTATATATGTAATTGAGTAAATGACGTCACATGGTTACAAACAAAATGAAATATCTGAAGAACTAAGCATGGGAACAAAAATCTTCAAAACAAGTTACTATACAGTTTTAAGAGCATTTTCGTTTAAGAAAATAAAAATTTTGATGACAGTGCCACTTTAACGGACACACCTCTTAATAAGCGGACACATACCTCCGATCCAAATTATTTCTTTACAAAAACATTATCATTACTCCTATATTCAGCGGACATCTCTATTACAAGCGGGCAATTCAAACTCGAGGTCCCAAATGAGCCGAAAACCTCTCTTGAGCGGACGAACGTAACTGATGCACGAATACAAATAAATATGTTTAATCAAATTTTCATAACAATCGACAGCAAAATTTAATTTTAAGGAAATTCACTATACATCTATTTATTATTGTTTTGCAGTATTTCTACGTAGTATAAACGCCGACATCTTGAACTAATATTGGCACCTCTGATTTTGGCATAAAGCCGAAATTTTGAGAATTTCTAAATTTTTGGCTATTAAAGTACTATGGCTATGCCTAGGCTATGGTGACTAAAAATGCAAAATTTCATGTTCACTTTTCACACAAATATAGTCTACACAAAAAGTATGTATAAGTCATTTAATGAAGTCTAAGTGAGTAGTCTCAAGCTGCCTTTGAGTTATTTTACAGATGGCAAAACAGTAACTTCATACCGTAAGTTTTCTTCATTTTTAAGTGTCAAAAACTGAAAATCGGCTACGATTTTCATAGTTAAAAAACGTAATCGTTTAAGTTAAGGGACCGGTCATGAAGTAACTGCTAGGCCTAGGGCGGTGGGCTGGAGTGATTTGGGATGGGCCATGGAAAATCTTTGGGCAATTTCGATGGGCCGCCAATTTTTTTGTATGTCCACGGTTGGGCCACCAAACAAAAACGCATGCATGTCTACTTCAAAAAATAAAGATATTAATAATAAAAATAAACAAAACTATCCAAATTATCAAATGCAAATGCTGCTATTGAAGCCAGTACTTTGTTTATACAACAAGAAGTGGTCGAATCACAGCAGATACAGCCAAATGGAGAGCATCTCAGTATCGTAATTGGTGATGAATGTGTTGGTCAAGTTTGGTGGAATTATGTATGTCAATACAGTGCCGTGTATATTTACAATGTTCATACCTGCAATTTATTATAAAAGTGTATTTTCCCTATTTAGATTGGGTGGGTCATGAAAATTTTTTTGTAACGATTAGATGGGCTTTGAAATTTTTATCCACATCCCAAGATGGGTCATCAAACTTATTGGCAAAATTTGTGATTTACCTCCAGCCCACCCTAGCAGTTACTTTATGACCAGTCCCTAACAAAACTTTATCCTGTTTCAGATCCATGTGAATACGACAATCTGTTCTCCCGAAAATCCAAGCTGGCTGCGATCATGTTTAAACGTCTTATTCATTACCAACGTCACGGTAAACCAGTTTTAAACCCAGATCGTGAGGCCGCTGCTAACCCCAAGCTCTTTAATGGCACCTGGTCACCTTGGCAAGTACTGGAAAGCGACCACTTGGTGGAAAACGCGAACAGAAAGATCCCGTATCCACACGACAAATGTTACAGGGGAATAAATCATGTTCAAGCAAAAAGTTCCAAGAAATCGTTCATCCCAGAAGACGGTAACGACATGACCCAGAGCCAGACTACATCATTCTTGGATGACCTCATGATCAAAATGTTTAAAAATTAAAATACACTATGACAGATGTTCATTTGATACAAATAAACTGGAAAAAATGTCCAATATTACTGGAAATCACAAAGATTTTGATCAAAGACTCAAAGTGCAGTTTTGCATGGCAAGGCTCTCTATGACTTTAATAAAATGAACTAAAGCAAAAATTTACCAAAGCCAATAAAAAGTATACTTCAAAAGCCCCCCCCCGGAAAAATAAGAATCTAGCGTGGAATGTAGGGGGGGGGGAAGGGTGCGCACCCCGACCTTGCGGTGTCTAGCACCCTAAAGACGTCCAGCACCATCCTAAAAAATCTGCTTGACCATACATTTTCTGCTTTTCGAATAGCGATAAGCACTGCTAGCTCGTGTCGATTTCTTGACACGATTTAATTGATTTATGAGCTCACAAGAAAATACTCTTGGAAAATACTCAGAACGTATTAGTTAAATATCATGGTTAAATATGTAAACATGTCGAGAGGTTGTTGCATAGCCATATTTTCAAATATACTGTACTTTAACAAGCAAATTTACTGTACTGTGTCAAAGCAACTGTCCAGTCACGCATATACGTGACAAAAAGTACCCTGGATTCCAGAGCCTTCGACAGTAAATAATAAATTGAAATGTCGCGAAGGCTCTGGTTCAACGGGGCGATTCTTTGATTAAGCCGCGCCAATCACAAAAAAATCCCACTCAGTTTGCAGAGCATTGGGCTAGTATTCCAAAGGTCGTAGGTTCGATTCCCACCGTGCTCAGGCATATTTTTCAAGCTTGCCCAGTGTGGATATACACTCAGAGTAACATCACAAGCATCATATCCACCTGTCGAGTGAGTACATTACACCAACACAGAAAAAAATTAAAATTTATATCTTTAAATTTTGCACTTGGGTTTACAAAAATGTATAATTTTAATATAATTTACTTTTAAATGATTTTAAAAATAATTTAAATTTCTACTCTTGCTACATGGATTCTACTTTTGACAAACTCATTGTAAGATTAATAATAAAGCTTAATTCCCCAAGATCGAATTTCATAAAAATGTCTTTTTGAGGATACTTATTGGGATGCAGCGAAAATATTTGCGACTAACCACAAACATGATTTTTGGTATGTGTAATATTTACTTGGCAGGTTAACATTTGTAAATCGCATGGACTTATTAAAGCTGGAGTTACACGAGCAACAAAATTGCTGCAACTTGCAACAAAATCTGATTTCAACGCATGTTAAGTAGAAATGTCGACACATGTTGCCTTGTGATTTGTAATTTATGTGTAAACATTTTCAATTAACATGCGTTGAAATCAGATTTTGTTGCAAGTTTATCCAAATCAAGAAAACGTCGGAGAGGGATTCAATTACCTGAAAAATACAAGTAAAAAACTTCGACGTTTCGAGCGAAGGCCGGCGGGCCGGAATCCCTCTCAAACCGACGTTTTCTGGTGTTATTGTCACCACCTACTGTAGCAGGGTTCGTAGTCTCCAAGGTCAAAAATATTCAAAGACTTTCAAAGATTTTTTCTGCCTATTTTCAAAGACCTTTCAAAGAGTTTTGAGAGAAATCAGCTGTCGAAAAATTGCGAGCATAGGCACCATTTTTGCCCAGTAATTAGTCCCGCCACATCACATCTAAAAAAATGTACCTTTTCGTCAATATTTGCGAAAACCTTGCTCTTCAATCAATCTATTTTATTAGCTATAGGAAATCGTATAATCAATTGATTTTAAAGACTTTTAAAGACTTTCTTCGCTTTTTCACACAATTCAAAGACTTTTCAAAGACCTTAAAGACCTGCATTCAAATTTAAAGACTTTCAAGGATTTCAAAGACTGCTACGAACCCTGTTCTACACTTACTCGAACAGTCGAGAGTTGTTATTATCCAAATTCCCATGAAAAGTCTGAAATTCAATCTTGATTTTCTGCACTTTGAAATAGCGTCTTGCCCTGATCCTCTGCACCCTGTTTTTAACGAAACCACCTCTCTTTTCAGTAAGCCCCCATCATTACAAAAAATTTCATCCCCTTTTCTTTGTCTTTTTTGAGATGGTTTATCCCCCCCCCCCCTTATTAAAGAAGGGGATAAACCATGAGGGGCAGGGTTCAAAATATGCTCTAACTGTGATGACCGCTGGTTGACCACCATCTGTGTGTACCTTCAGATAGGGGTGCACCGGATTTGGAATTTTCAAATCCGGCCGGAACCGGATTTACCGGATTTGAACAAAAATTCCGGCCGGATTTGAGATAAACCGGTAATGGGGACAATTGGGGATAAATCAGTATTCAATATGACGGTTTATGTTTTTTACTATTTTTAGTTAGTGTCAGTTAGATTTTTGATTGTGTTTAAACCTTTTTTAAACATCTTTTCGTTAATAACTTAATATTTTATAATAATATAAGTGTTTTTTTAAACTTTAAAGCTGCCAAATTGATGGTTTATCCCATTGTTGGTGAATTTTTTAAGGTGAAAACAGAAATTTAAATCTGGCCGGATTTTTTCCAAATCCGGCCGGAAGCCGAATGCCGGAAAATTCGTTAAATCCGGCCGGAATTGCACCCCTACCTTCAGACACATGCCATGAAGTTGACTACACTGAAGTTCTGTATGAATTTGTACCTTGAATTTATTGTAAAAATAATTTTCTTTTGTGCACGCTGACAGAGGAATGTTACCAGTATGACCAAGGTGGTTGTTTAATGAACAGTTCTGGTGAGGTGGTAACGTTCACTGGAATACTAATTACAGCACCATACATCCCTTCTGCCTTTAATGCATCTTTGATGTGTTTACTGCAAAAAAATATTTTTGTCAATTAATATTGTGGACCTGGAAACTGTTTAACCCATACTAGTGGTAGACACTAATTTCCCCTTTACAAATACAATGGGGGGAGGGGAGGACCATAAATTTGCCAGACATTCATGAATTGCCAGACGTCTCTTTAATTCTTTCCACATTTTTTCTCTAAATTTGCCTAATGTAGCATTTTTCCTTTTCATTAAACTACATCTGTCAATCTTTTATATTTGACATTAAATACAAGACTTAAATAAACTGAATTAACATTATTTTCTCACAAATGCATTAATCAACTATAAACATTTACCTGTCTTTTGCCAACATAAATCCAGCAGGAATATTAACTTTTCTATCTGTGTCATCTTTGATCATATTAATAGACACTCTATCATTACCAAAATCATTGTCAGCTATTAATACACCAACAGCACCAGCGTCCTCAGCATATTTTGCTTTTGATAAAAATGAACACTCCCTTCAAAGGAAAACAATTATCAGCAAATCAGGGCCGCCCAGAGGTTGGCGGGGGCCCGGGGCAAATTTTTTTTAGGGGCCCCTATCTAAAAAAAATTTTCCCGGAAAATTTTTTTTCCGGATAACAACCCGGGGCAATTTGCCCCCTTTGCCCCCCCCCCTCTGGGCGGCCCTGC